TTTAAATATGGAGTCAATCTTCTCTCTTCTGTCATTAATTTTAAAGATGACACCTTCAGGAATCCCCCAGCGATATTGTATTCCATTTGTTTAAAGAAATGAAATTAATTCCTTGTAGCTCTTCCTCTTTTGACGAATTTCAAATGGAATGTCTTTTAGAGTCTTAATAATTGTATTCCCAAATTTCTATGGATTTGCCGAAGTTGCCTTCAATATGACATCTCTGGTCTGTCTTCTTGCAAACTTGACCACAATCTCCCCAGGTAGGCTGTTTTTTTAAATATAATTAGAGTCTGCCCGATAGGCAGACTCTATATCTTTTACTATTTCTTCCGCTGATAAGCCTGTTGCTGGGGCGATAATCTCTCCCAGAGTCTTCTTTAGATCTTCTTTCTCCTTTTCAGGCACTCCCTGGAATCTGAGAATCAAATTGGCTTTCTCCATTTACAGCTGTAAAAGACGATTTTCCTGCATTTTTTGTTTTACTTCCACATCTTTCACTCTTTTCTTCATCTTTTTGCTCTCAGTGTCCAGATTCTCCACCAGTTTATCAGTTGCATGCTCCACTTTCTTTTATTTCTTTTAATTTATTTAACCTTCGGCTTCTATACCGCTCAGACCCGAAGGTCTCAGAGCGGTTTACAATGGTGCTGCAAGCGCAGATCTTAGTCCTAATTCTATGGCCACATTATTTGAGGGGTGGGGATGCCTACCAGCACCCGGGTGGGTTCGCTCTTCCTCTCGGCTTCTCTTATCGGCAGTCTACTGGGTCAGGTGGCATCTGTGGGTGGTCCTTCCCGGCGTCGATCTTCCAGCGCACGGCCCGCGGTGGTCCTGGCTCAGTTCCGTCCGTAATCGGCTCCACTGCACCTGCGCCGCCCACGCCTCCGTGCGCTTCTCCGTTACTCCGCCTCCACCACCGTCGACTGACAGACGCCGGGAACTGGGCGCTGTTGTTGCCTTCGGCCACCAGGGATCGCCGTTTCCGCCACATCACTTGTTGCCGTCCTCGCCGTCACTGCCGTTGCCGCCGCCATTGCTGGTCTCCTTGCTGCCGCTGCTGCCGCCAAACTCCACCACATCCCTGCATGGAGGAGGGTGCCCCCTACCCTTCTAAGGGTAGGTACCCATTTATCTACTTGTCTTGTTATTTTTAACTTTCGAACCAGTTACCAGTTACTCATGACATTTG